TTTAGGTCAAGTTTGGCAAGTTGTCAAAAAGTTAAAAAGTTACTCAAAAAATTAGAAAGTTATCACTATTCATATGACTGTTTACTGTACTGAATGACTGAAATACTGCGGAGCTTGAACTGTTTTCATTACTGTAAGGACATTCATTCTAAACCCCTTTACGCTTTATGTTATTCACTGGGCTTTAGCTCACTGTTTATATTTATATGTAGGTGCTCAGCCACCAGATCGGAGCTAGGAGCGTGGGTTAGACTCCAGTTTTGTCAAGCCAGCCTTTGTGCCTCACTGCGAGGTTCCGAGTTGCCATGCTATGGCTTTGGGGTGTTTTGTTTTTCCCCTGTCTGTCTCCATACTGTTTGGATTACTGTATAGACTGTTAGCTACTAACTGTACTATTATCAAGGGATTAGGTCCCTGCACTGTGTGACTGTAAATTTTGTATAGACTGTACTGTTTGTATGTATGAATGCATGAAAAATCTCTTTGGCATAAAGACTGTCACAGCTCAATGGACATTATTTATTTACCGTATTGGCTTCCGCCGGGCCCTGAACTCTGTTTTACTGTACTATTGTTAAGCAGGCTTTCGGTAATCTCGGATTACTGGCCGGTTACGGTGCTAAACCCATAGGGCCGGGTTTGGGTCGTGACATTTATCCTCATTATTATGTCTTAATCTTGGCCTAAGAATAGCTAGGATGCAATGAGAATGCCAAAACATGTTGTTCAACACTTAGTCAAATTTGCAGAAAATAGGGTTTTCACTCGAGGGCAGATTCCTTCGCTCGAGCGGAGGTCCAAAAATGTGAGTGGTCACTCGAGCACAACTTCCTTTGTTCGAGCGGTTCGAGCAGTCTATAAACTCTGCAAAAGTACTGGTTGTGTGATTTTTTCGCTTAACGCACACTCGACGGTCGCTCGAGTGTGAGACTAAGGTCTTTGCTCGAGCGCAACTTTTGTCGCTTAAGCGGTCTGCAAAACATGGAAACTTCTGGAAGTATGCAATTTACGCTTGAACCAACTTTTGGTCGCTCGAGCATAGGTGTAAAAACAAATGTGGTCACTCGAACACAAGATCCGTCGCTCGAGTGGAGAGGTAGAATTTGGGGATTTCCAGATTGCACTCCCAAGCTTAAAACTCGAATTCAAAGCTGAAATTCATGCTCTTTTGGGTCAAAACCTTAAGGAAACTTGTATAAACTTGGAAAACTTTGTGAATTCAAGATCATTTCGCAAAATCAAGGCCCAAAAGCATGTCAAATCTTCAAAACTAAACTTGAACAACATGTATTCATAACATGCGTTTGTTAATTCATGTGCTACACTTTGAAGACATGACCAATTGATGTCAAATGGTGTGAAATGAGACTAGTTGTCAAAACCATGCTGGAGTGAACACATGCATGTATAAATTTCTTGGAATCAAACTCAAAACATGAGAAAATGGGCATGCATGCATGAATCATGTTCAATTCTACCATCTAGCCTTAATTCTCTTTGAATAATGCATAAG